AGTGATGCGAATCGCATTCAATCAGGCCAGGTCTTGAAGGATCGTGGGAAGGGGCCCAGTATTCTTCGCGGCTTGGAGACCTGGCAGTATCCCCAGAACACCATCGTGAAGTACTGCAGACGATCGGCCGATCTGTTGTGTGCCTCGGTGAGCAGTCCCAGGTCTTGCTGGTGAGTCTCTAAAACTTTGGGTCTTTCTTTGTCCGTTCGACCGAGACCGGGCCGTTGATCCATTGGACGATGAGAAAGACGATGACGAGGAAGAAGAGGATTCCGGATGGTGGCAGAAGCTGCTCGACATAGCCTTTCAGAACCGGTGGTCGTTGCTGAGACCACGCATGCTTGCAGGGGCGAATCATCCTGTTGTTACATGCTCAGGCAACAGTGGCAGAAGCGATCCTGGTGACCGCGATGGCAGATCCCGAGGGAAACAATCGGCTGGCTAAAAAGCCGAGTTTGCACTGCACTCTTCATTCTGAGCGGGACATGGAGAATTTCCTCCTAGATTGCCGATGATTGCGGTGTCTCGGACAGGTGTCTGTTTCTGCTTCTTCCAAGAGGCTGAGCCCTCAGATGCGCTTTTCTGCCTCGCCGGGGTTTGCTTTGGGCCCGCACCCTGTGTCCTCCGCAGCTGCTTAGGCCAAGTCGCCAGGCTCCAGCTGGCCGATCTTGCTGGTTCGGCCGGCATCTCGGCTTCCCCGGAATGGGACGTCCCTTGCTGGTATTTGGTTGCATGGGGTTGGCCTAGTAGATCAGGTTAGGCTTCACTTAATTCGGGTCGGGATACTCGACTAGGTCTGGCCGGGCTTGGGATATTAGACGAGGTCTTTGTATTGGGATACTGGATTAAGTGCGGGTTTATTATTCGTGGGTTGAGATTCTATACTAAGTCCGGGTCTATTTCAAGACGGTAAGGATGCTGGACTAGGTCCATATTTCTTTTCATAGGGTTGACTACCACACGAGGTCAGGGTTTACTCTAGTACTGTTGGGATACTACACTAGGTCCGGGTTTCTTCAACTGGGGCTACTTGAAAGTTCCCGGTTTACCTAAATAGGGTTGGGATGCTGGTTATTCTAATCGGATCGGGATACTAGACTAAGCCCGTGTTTCTGTAAATATTTTGGGGTACTAGACTAGGTCCGCATTTACTTAAAGAAGGTTGGGGCACGACTCTAGGGTCTTCTTGATTGTGGTGCTGCAATGTTCCCAATGCCCACTCGATTCTCCAACCTGTCACCAACTGCAAACCCTTTCCAGCGGCTCAGGCTGAACATCCATGAGGTCTTCAGATTTTTCCTGCAGGGGGCTCGATTTACATTTGATCATCGTCCGATGCGACACTACTGTAACAGTAAAACGATTCGTTGTCATCAGTCAGTGACATAGTCGGGTCGATTTCCAGAACCTTTCAGAACATCATCAGGCACCTAGATATCGCCTTCAAGGTTCACCTCAAACTCTCCAGCCGCAAGACCAGCAACAGGAGGATCAAAGGCCAACTCGGCATCGATTTCCCAAAGCCCTCTGAAGCCCTTACTTCGTTCCTGCATTCATGAGGTTCTGCCGGGCCAATCTTCGCCGTCAGGCAGACTGGGCACGAGCGCCGGTGTTAGTAGTCTGCAGTGATGCTCAGTGCCGCAATAAGTCATGCTTCCACCTACGTAGCACTTCAGGAAGGAGTGCACCGTCTCAATTAACATGATCAAATGGCAGACATGTCTTGGCCATGTGAGGGGGTGAAGCCGAGGGTTTGGGGGTTTGCTTCTTCTTGGGGTTTTGGGCTTGGGGTGTCGCTTCACATGGAACACAATGCTCCGCGATCTTGCCTTTGGAGTATGCGAAGACCTCGTGCTACAGCCATTCCATGAAGCCATCTTCGTTTCCCTGCACCTTCATTGCAATAGCTTCGTCAAAATAAGCAGCCCAATCGATTGTCCCTGTGCCCGTCCTGTCGCAGACGTTGCCTGATTTTGAGCCTCAATCTCCAACCAGCATTGAACATCATGCTTCCAATCCCTGCAAAACAAGACCTTCGGCAAGGCGATCACCTCCTCGCACACGGTGCCCAACCTGTTTTGGCCTCAGCCTGAGTTCCTCTTCTCGGAAGCAGCAAAGTGTCTTCGGAGATTTCGGGTCCATGAATCTACGAAAACGATGCACAAGCACAAACAGGGTTCACGGTTTCGGGTCAAGGCTTTGGGGTTTAGTAGGATGCCCTGTGTTTATGCGGCCCCAGAAAGATCTCGACTGATTTCGCATGCAATGCTCGGAGTGCTTCTTGGGTTTACGTGAAGGGCTCCTAGCTTCCCAAAGCCGAAACCTTAAACCCCGAGGTAGTTTAGGGTTTAATTAGGGCCCCTGGGGGGTCTAGGCTTTCCTCAACTTAAGGTCATCTCTCGACGATGGAGGCAGATCGCGGAAACCGCTTTGCAGCGGCCCTACAGGTCGAACGTGTCGGTTTAAGGTTTTAGGGTTTAGGGTAACCGTGCAGCCCCCCCGCTAGAAGTTTTCTCCGGTCTGTGGAGAGGGGAAAGAAGCCCTGAGAAGAAGCACTCGAACGTAGATCCCAAACTGAAGCCTTATGGAAGTTCCGTGCCTGTAGACAGACAGAGACAGCGAGACAGAGAGAGAGAGAGAGAGAGAGAGAGACAGAGAGCGAGAGAGAGAGAGAGAGAGAGAGAGAGAGAGAGAGAGAAAGAGAGCGAGAGAGACAGATACAGAGAGAGCGAGAGAGAGAGAGCCAGAGAGAGACAGAGAGAGAGAGAGATATGGAAACAAGAATCGAGGAAAGCAACGAAAAGAGCAGTAGTAGAGCTAGCCGTCTTTGGCCGTTGTGCTTTCAATCCCGCAGTGCCAGTCATGCACAGGCTGGCTGCCAGCTTCATGTTGACGCAAGCATGCCGTCCCTGCTGTGTTTTGCAGTTTTTTCGGGTTCGAGAGTCGTCCGTGGGACCGGGCTTGCTCCTCCGAGCGACGTCCTTTGTGCTAGTGTTGGGCGGAGATCCAGCAGCTCGCTCTCGTAGCGTATCTTGGCTTACATGCTTGTTTGCAATCGGAGGCTTGGCAATCCAAGTGTGGGTCCAGTGGGTCTCCGGAAATCTCCTGATCGCTCTAGCTAACAAACATAAATTCTCGGCGACTGACCCGGCCGATGGCTTCATTCTGAGCTGATGGAGTAAGATCCCTAAGCTCGCCAGACCCAATCCGAGCAGAATTATGAGAAACAGGATTTGCTGGGGCCCGCAAAGTTCTCCAGACCAGAAGCTGCACAACGAGCGAGCTAGAAACGATTGAAAACTTCCAACCCAAAGCCTTAAGCCTTGAAGTACATTTGTCAGCAAATGCCACGTCCACAGGGCCCCCGGACATGGCCTTGCCACAGCTGAGGTCTCAGATGGTCAAGAGCAAGTTCGCCACTCCCCTGAAAGCCAAGAGCAAAGCGGTCACTTTGGATGCAGAGACGCCGCCAAAGGACTCTCGAAAGGGCGACAGACACAAAAGCTGCTCCACTTGTCGACTATATGGCAGAGCACCTCGGCTGCATTTCTTCCTCTGCATGCCCGGCCGTCGAGTTCCATCTTTGCTGGCCTGCTTCGGTTCAGGTCTGTACACATCGGAACCAGACCCCTGTCAAGAAGGAGCCCAAGATGGAGCAGCCAATCGTCAAGACGGAGCCGATAGAGGACACCCCCAATCCAAGAGTCGCATTTCTGAATATTCATGTGAGAAACAACAACATGCTGCAAGAAGCTTACAGGACAAGCCAGAACTATCGCCGGACGCTCTCATCTACATTCTGGGAAATAAATATTTGGCCGCTCAGGACGATGGGCCGCTAAGGTTGGAGCTTCTCCCCCCGCAGAATTCTTTCGTTCCTCCTTTCTGAGGACCCCAAACCTGTCGATCCTGAGAATCTGGACGAAGACATGCGAAGGCCTCGCTTCCGTCCGACTTGAATTGCTGGTCCATTGTTCTTTGGCCGGTGTCGCCAGGTTGATGAAGTTGCCGCACTTCTTGTCCACGTCGGTCCAAGTTCTGAAGAGCAAGTCCAATTCCGATAGATACCAGAGCCTCGTGTCTCGGCACACTTGTTGGTTCCGAAATTAACCAGTATCGATCCTGCTGCTTGCGAGAAGGGGTTGTGCTCACAGGCTTCACTGATGGACGATCTCATCCCTCAGGCAGAAGAAATTGCTCAGGATGCGACAGCCTTGCGACGTGCTCAGATGGACTTTGTCGGCCGCACCAAAGACTTCATGAGCACGGCCATGGAGGCCTTGAGGAAGGCAGTGCCGGAAGTCAGGCGACTCACTGGCGACGACCAGGATCCGCCTCCTTCCTTCAGTGACCCCCTGTTTTCATTCATGCAAGAGTTAGGCCCTTCTTTTACTGTTGTGACCGTGTCTTGTTCGCCTCGACCGCTTCTGCAGGACAAACCTGCCTTGAATGATTCCTGATGTTCCTGGACAATCGGCCTATCCCAACAGCGACAAGCACTTCGCCGATAAAGTTCACTTACTGTCGTCTGCGGCCTCAAGTTAGCAAGAACCGGGTCGCATGGCCTTTGTGCGGTGTGAGAGTTAGTGGGGGCACTGCTGGGCCACTCACACATAGACATACAGGCCTGACTGTGATTTCCGAGTTCGGCCGCTCGGTGTCTGCTGCCGGTCGATTCCGTATCAAAGCCAAGCAGGATATATGGGGACTTTCGTCCTGCGAAGCACGAGAAAAAGACGCACAAACTGCAGCTGCCTCCGCAACAGACCATCCACACGCATTCTTGCATCAGGCTTTGGAGGGTCGGCCAACGGTGTATACCCTGTGTGCTGCATGCGGCCTTGTTATTCCGTCTTCCATTTTGCTGCTTTGCATTCAATGCATCCTTGCCGTGCTTCGAGAGCATATCGGCTTTGATCCTTGCAAGCGCCATGCGGCGAATGAACACGAATGCCTCGCTGGCATCAGTCGCTTCCTCCCCCAATGCGGGCAGTCCGGGCAAGGAAAAACCGGAGCTCATGAGTGCCCTGGATTCCAGTGTTGATCGCATGAAGGCGGGCATGGTCGGATTCTGTTTTGAGCTGCTTCCTATTTGCAGTCCCATGCATTCTCGATTCAGGAGGATATGGCCGCCGGGATTCTGGCGAGCAAGAGGGCCAGAGAGAGACTCATGAATAAGGACAAGAAGAAGAAGAAAAAGTCGAAGAAGACTGCCAAGAAAAAGAAAAAATCCAAGAAGAACTCCAGCAGTAGCAGCAGCCAGGAAGACTCCAATTCGGAGTCAGATTCAGGCCGTTCTGATTCGGAGCCGGACGAGATGACTCAGGATTCCATCATGGAGGAGCTGAAGCTGCAGTTGGGTCTGAAAGGCAAAGATTTGAAGCTGAAAGACATGGTGTCTTTCGAGAACATGACCTGTGTTCCTGGGTTGCATGGATAAGCTGCAGCAGACATCCTTTGAAGCATCTTCATTCCCTGAGACTGTTGTTGTGCGATATGTTCTTGCATTGAGGAGCAGTTAATCTTCTTGATGGCGGAGTCACACAAATCTTTGGGCACTCTAACAATCATGGACTTTCACGAGCTTGGCGGAGAAGCCCGGTCGCTTGCACAGAAGAACATGAAGGGCTTGCAGCCACCGAAGAAGGCCTCCAAGAAAGACCCCCACAACGTCGATGCGAAGAAGATCTTTGTAGAGGCTCAACAGGTCTTTAACCTGGCGGAGAAGAAATGGAAGGACAGGATTCTGGCCGTTCTGGAGCATCTGGGTTGCATCGACGTTCAACCGTGTAATTTTGTCCGTCACTATGAATCCCAGTCTTCTCTGTGTCCCGAGGAAGTTGCTGAGCAAGAGCCGCAAGAACACGGTGCTTCAGTTCCAAACGGTCGTTCAGTTGAGGAAGAGTCTCTTCCCGAGGATTCGGGACAATGTCAAGGGATCCAAGCGCTTTCCCGAGCAAGTGCAGTCTTTGATTGAGAAGCTCAAGCGAGATGCGAAGGATGACCTGGAAAAGGTCGAAGCCAAGGTCATGTCGAAAGGGCCAAAGGCCGATCAGCGCAGAGACTCGGAGACGGGGGACGGTGGCCCCGCCAAAAAGAAGAGGCGCCGATCCAAGGGATCCAAGGGCAATCCTGACGAGGAATCCACAGTGGAGAAAGAGGATAGCGACGATGACGACGACGGGGACGATAACGACGAAGAGGGCTCAGATGAGAGCTCAACGACACAAGTCTTGCCCGGCGGTGGCCCACAGGTCGGAATCCCACCGGATGATTCCGACCTGTGGGCAGATCCGAAGTTTCAGCAGTTGGTGCCCGCCGTTCCCGCTCCGGCCGTTCCCGCTCCGGCCGTTCCCGCTCCCGCCGTTCCCGCTCAGGCCGCTCAGGACTCCGAATCTCGACTTGAAGCTCAGTGCAGCTGTGATCTTCCGGGTTAGAAATTCCAGAGGTGCATGCTGTTGCAAACTCGGCCCAGGCACTTCCTGATGTCCGCGAACGTTTGGCTGCTCAAGGAGTCCGAAGTGCCAGCGATCTCTTTGAGAAGATGCTAGCTGACGAGGCAAGACCTGTGTCCTACAATCATTCCGGAGCAGTGTCCTCACCTTTGTTCCATCTGGGCAGGCGATGTGCCAGGCCGTTCTGGACGCCATGTCCACCAAGCCCGGCCAGTCCTGAGAGCTTGGTTGTCACAGCTCTTGCTGAGGCGATTGTGAAGCGCCCGCCATCTGGGCTCTCCCTCTAGGTCGTCGGTGCTAAACATCGGCCGTTCTCTTCTGGTGTTCGGGAGATTTTGGATGACCCTGGTCTGTAGTGGTGGGTTCGACTAACTGAGGGCCTGTCAGCGACACACGTGCAAAAAAGAATTCCTGCGGGTCTGCGGGTTTTCTCCGCTGCTGCGGGTCTTCTCCGCTGCTGCGTGCCTTCTCGATAGATTTTTTTTTTTTCGGGGCCGGCTAAAATAATTGAGAAGACCACGTCACCGGGAGAAGACCTGATGGCTTGTTTACACCACAAACGCACCATGTGGTCTTCTCCGCGACTGCGTGCCTTCTCGTTTGTTTTTTGAAAACCGAACAGACGAAAAAAAAAATGAACCACACGAGATGACTGTATGACTTGTGGAAACTCCTGAGAAGACCTCCTCACTTGTGGAAACCAGCAGAAGGAATTGTCGGTTGTGCAGAGCCAGATGAGCTGAGTTTAGGCAGAAGTCCCGGGGCTGCAGTCTTTGCCGAGGTCCGACTGCCACGCATCGCACACCCTCGCCGGACGATTTGGTCAGGCCGCTCCGGTTCCCTGCTGGTTCCTGAGTTCCGGGTTGTGGGTTCTGAAGCTGCGGAATTCCACCACTTTGGGATTGGGGCCATTTGACTTTACCAGCCAGCCCAGGTTGGCTTAGGCAGGAACAGGACAGGCTTAATCTAGAGCTTGTCTGACAGAGCACAATTCCGTTGTGTGGAGCCCAGCTTACAGTCTCATATTGTACCATGTTTGCTCGGGGTTTTGTATGAGAGAGCGACTCTCTTATGGAACAATGGTAGCCTTGCTTCTGGTTGTGCATGCAACACATTGTCCTCGACAAAACTTAGGCTTGTGTCTATTCTGACCTGTTGTTGGTCCCTTCACGTAGGTTCCTGCATCCTGTGAAGGAGTAGTGCATACTGTTCTTGATCCGTGCATTCATGGGATGCATGGGCATCCGCACTTAAGGTCGGCAAACAAAATCGATGTGGACGTGTCTCCGACCTGGTCTCTAGCGAGGCCTCTGCAGATTCGAGAGACTTGTCGCCTTAGATTCAGTGGGAGGGCTCTAGAACCTGTGGAGGGTTATAGAAGCAAGAAGTCTTTTGCCCCAGTGGACAATACAATCCTCCTTGGCCACCCCCCTCCTCGTTGCAGCAGTACTTCCTGTTTTCGCCTCGAAACATGAATGGCTCATAGAGACACTGCAGTCGATTCGCTCGCATGCAAGCGAACAATTTGAAGCGGAGGCTTCGACACATGAGTCTTTGCCATGTTGAAATGATAATGGTACAGTCCAAGCAGGTCATGAGCAATTGTCCCATATAACATCAGAATGTGTAAGTAGAATTGATATAACACAGCCAATCCTGCCAAAAATGGAGGTTGAGCCGGCCCAAGGGGAGCAGCCGCGACAAAAGATCTTGTCTCTGTTTTTTGCAAAGAGGGCCGAGCCTGAAAAACTGCAGAAGCTCGTGGTCACCTTGCAGTTCGCGGCAAAGAATGCTCGTCCGCTGTCCACTCTGGACAATCAACCTCCTCTTGCTCCGATCCTGGATGAATGTGTCAGGGAGATCCGGCTAGCCGTCGACTTCCCCTTGCCGCCGGACGAGGGGGAGAGGGAAGCTCCAGCCCTGAGCCTGCTGGATCAGGAGATCGCAAAGATCGCTGAGAAGACTGCTGCCGGTGACCCGGACGTCGTGCAGCACTCGCTGGTTTTTCTGCGGCATCCGATCGCTCTGACATTCGTCAAGGTACCTTGCTGCACTAGGTGTAATTTGTCTCAGTTTTAGGGCTGCGAGGCCTGGAGAGCTCCGAGATTCCTGGTATTATGTCTTGCTTTTCCTCATAGCATCCCGAGGTCGTTCCTACTGCCAAGCACCACTGTCAGGGCTACGAGTATTTGGTCTGCATGGCAGACGTTTGGTGGATTCTGGACATGTCCGTGAGCTACTATGCATGGTTCGGAAAGAACCTACACAAAGGCCTTTTCTCGGAGGCTTCGCAGCGATGGGAAGTTTCCATGCGCCACTTGGTAAGAACAGACACATACAAGGGCGAGCATGAATCAGTTTACATGCTGCCTGGTGTCAAACACGATTGTTCTAGCTCGCTGGGTTTGCTGCTCGTGTTCGCTATGTTGACTGTCATTCGTGGCCTTAGCCTCGAGACACAGAAGAACATCATTGGATTCTTGCGAAAGATTTTCTCCCTGGTCAAGATGGATTGCTTGGCCCTCCTGCCGGACTGCAGCTTGCAGGTTCAGGAGGGATGTGTCAGCATCAAAAAGTTCTTCAAGAAGTTCGGAGCAGATGCTACGCGAATCTTGAACAAAAGGCCAGGGGTTGGCTTAAACTCCTTTGACACGGCCTCACCTTCTTTTTGCCCTTGCATTCAGGTGGGAAAGTGCCTTGGCACTAGGTCACTCCAGATCCAACTACCGGGGCAAAGTCGCAATTGCTGATGTTTGGTTCTTCATGTTTAGGCTGCAGCCAGAGGAAGCATTGCAGTGCATCCCGATTGAGCGGGTGCAGAAGCGGCTCCTCCACATCCTCGCACAGGCAGTCGAGAGGAGCTGTGCAGATGGTTCCATCAAGCTCCACACAAGCCCTGGACTCTCCGAGGATATGGACGGCCAATCTCCGTATTCCAGCGGCAATGCGAGCCGCACGGCCAACCTTGTTCGAGAACAGCTCTTGACTCGATTTCTTGCACGTGGCAGCGGATTTATAACAGGCATGCAGAACAAAGATAACAAGGACATCGTGCCGGATAAACTTCCAGGCACGAAATCCCGCAACCTTCAAGGGGTCGCAGCGGATCAATTTGTGACGGCATATTTTGCAAGCTCTGCAACTCTCCTGTTGGAGCGGCTTCAGAAACAGGTCTTCCGACACTTGACATGGTACGAAGATGCATCGTCCGTGGCCACTCACAATGTCCTGACCATCCACTGCTCTTGTGATGGCTTGATTATCACTTGTCCTCTGAGCTTGCTGCCGGCACTGAAGACCACCAAAGAGACGACGATCCAAGAAAACTTGGAGACAGTCGAGGCCCTGGGAGATTTGGCCTCTCAGAATCCAAAAAAAAAAAAAAAAAATCTCTGTAAGGACGAAAAAGTGTCCACCAGACAGAAGATGTTGGCCTTGAACCACTCGCTGCACCAGCTCGTTCGGTTCCGGTTGTCGGACGCTCTTCCGGCTCGGAAGCTCAGGCCAGTCAAGGAGGGCGAGACCCGGCATTATGTTCAGAAAGACGGGCTCAAGCGAGCTTATCTTTGGCATGCTCAGACAAAAGCTGCAACATGGCAATCGACGGATCATGTGGGGTTCGACAGCTGCCTTCGGCTCAGCTGCTTGCAAGACGAAGGCGACACAAGCATGGCCGTTCAGATGGCCAATCACGGCCTCTCCATTATGATCCATAGAGATTCCATGCATAAGCTCCACCGTGAAGAATGTTTGGCCGCTCAAGACGTTCCCGAGGTCGCTCTCTCCAAGAAGCAGGTGCTCCTGATCATGAAGTACGACAAGGCTCCGTGGAAGACCTCGGCCTTCGGCCGACGGTTGCGGGAGGCGAGGGAGCTTGTGGAGGCGATCCCGTGCACGCACCGGCTGGTGCAAATGGTCGCTCCCGGCATTCTCCACGATTTGGGGATGGACCCGGCCTCTCCTCTCGAGGCAGTGAAGGACGTTCTCGTCAAGTACGCCAAGGGTCATCTGGGCACAGGATCAGACCATAGTTCCGGGAGATGGGCCGATTATGTGGATTCCTTCGGGCGGCTCCGCAAAGAGTGGCACTTGCGGCTCTTTTTCATGCTCTATGCGGACGTTCTGGAAGGCAAGAATCCGCTGCACTGCCTGGCCGCTCGCACGGACGATGACAAGGCTCTTGGCCCTCAGGTCATCAAGGTGCCTTGGACACAGAACTTGGCAGGTTTTCGGAATGTCTGACAAATAATCGGTTCGCTTCCTGATCTGCTGTTGCCTCCGAGGTCTTGCTTCGGCCTCTCTCTTTCGCCTACGGCAAGTCTGCTTTCCACGTCTTGCGGCCGTTCCGCACGTTCCAAGCAACAGAGGTGCCGTGTTTTGGGACATGTATTTTTATTTCTTCTTGACAAATGAAACCTGTTGGGTTTTCAGGTTGTCTGCTCCAGGCTGGAGGGGATGGCAGGGTTTCCGCCTTCGGAATTTGCAAGGCAGAATTTTTTTCCGCTGCGATACGTGTTGGAAGACACGCCCTTGTTATCTTCGAGTGCCAGACTGAGAAAATACGGCAATCGCACCTTGCTCTGTCGTGACTTCCTGACTGTGTTGAGGCACAGTCCAAAAATCAGTACCTTCTTTGACTCTCTTTGACTGGTTCGAGAAAAAGCCGCAGCGACCCCCGCAGTCAGGCTTTACGCCAACAGCCAGCAGAAGCATAGAATCTAAAAGCAAGCCTTCTGTTGCAATCCCGCCTTGCTCATGAAGAAGTGTGGGTGGGTGTGTGTGTGTGTGTGTGCAGCAGGGATCCTTTGCTCCGGTTTGTTTACGCCGCTGTCAGTGCATGGAAACGATGCACAATGTTGCCTACGAACAGGTGCAGGTCGAGAAGACACCCGAGGGGGCCGCTCGCATGAAACGGTACATCGCTCTGGAGTGGCCCAACTTGGTCTTGTCTATCATGCAATCCGCCTTGGACCGCCATCATCTCGAAGACATCGTGTGGAACGTGGATCCCGAGGACGTTCCTTCATTGCTGAATGTGCATTTCAAGCACACCGTGGCCACTCTGAGGCGGCTGGCAGAGTTCGGGCTCCTCTACGGGTCGTTCCCATGGCGGTTCTTTCTGGTGTGCGACAGCGATGATCACGTGGCAGCCCGGACGCTCAAGGAGATGAAGGACGAGTGGACGTTCCTGCTCCGCCAGGAAGAGGCCGCTCCGAATGCTCATGGATCCTTTCCATTGTCGCAGGTCATCTGGTTGCGGTGGCGAGTCTACCGGGAAGTCATGACCTTTGCGGAGGAAAGGGACTTCCGCCTGTGCGAGGAGGTCCGGCAGCTCATCAAGGCCTACCAGGCCTCTCCGAGCTCCACGCTGGGATGCGAAGACGCCTTTCGCTCGCTCCGGAAGGCCGAAAGGAAGAAGGGCGGAGGAGAGGCCGCTCCATCGCAGCTGCAGGCTCAAGCCGTGAAGGCTTGCAGCGAGAGGTTCGGTGGAGACGGCGGGTTCCAGGTGGCCGAGGTCGCTCCTTCGCAGATCCACTCGATCCCGGTGAAGCAGACTGTGAAGGCCAGTGTCTACACGGCCGCTCGGAGCACAGGACCTGAGACTGGACTCTCTTTCTTTTCGGGCATGGTACGTGAGGCGACTGTCAGCCCTTATTTCCTCACACGGAAATGCATCAACCTCTGGAACATGTTCAAGCGGAAGGAAGGAGATCTGTCAGACGCATGGCTTGCAGAGTTGTCCAGACCCGGGCAGGCGCCTGTCTTGTCGATCACGAGTGACCGAAAAAACTAATTTGACCTGTTATGTTGAAGGAAGACTGGTGACCAGTGAGAAGATTTGCTTCAAGATGCTTTTTCTTGTCTTTTCAACGAAAGGTGCTGAACGCCGGCCGCGACTACTGGTTGGTCGTGGACGCTCCCTACGTTCTCTTGAGAGTGTGGCCCCTCAAAGTGCACGAGGAGTCCTTCGACGGCGGTCGCGAGAGGGTGGCGGTCGTTCCCACAAACGAATGCTATTTGCAGGACTTTTGGGGGTATCGCTGGAAGAAAGACAAGTTGTCTGCCTCCGGTGCGAAATAGGAAGGTGCTCCATGTGGCAACCTAGATGTAAATCTAGCAAAGAAACAAACGTAGGCAGTCTACTTTGCGACATAAAACGGCACATGCATGGAAACTGCAGTGAGACGCCTTTCAGGACGTTTCTCCACCGAAGTTGGAGGATTCCAACGTTTGTGGGGCCGTTCCAGTGCTGCAGGGCGGCAAGATGGTTCTGAGGCTGGGGACCCCGACGCCTTTGATGAACCATGCCCTGCAAAACTATGCTTCCCGTTGCTGGGCCAAAGATTAACACTTTTGGATGGCTATGCTCAGATTTGTTCATAAGCTTCCCTTTTGATTTTGGGCCCGAGCTTCCCTGCAACCAGAACCAAGGCCTGTCGTTCAATTGCCTGAGGCAGCTCTGCAGCTTCTGCAATGTTCGGCCGAAGTCTACGAAGAAGAGCTGTGCCGAGGCCGTTCTGGCCCACCTGGCTTATACCAAGGAACAGATGGACGAGATCTTGCGGACGTTCAAGTCCAAAGGCAAGGAGGAGGAGGCCGAGGACGAAGAGGATGCGGTGCAAGAAGGCGAACCGGTTTTGGGTGTGGACACAGTCTGCGAAGCCAAGATCTTGAGCAAACTCTTGCAGAAGCTGGAAGAGACGGAAGCTCAGGAGACGCCGAACAAGTCCGGAATGCCGGAGAAGGCCGCTCAGGAAGCAGCAGGACACGGACCGTCCGAGCAGGAGCCCGCTGAGCCCGCTCCGGCCGAAACAAAGCGGCCCTCCCCTGCGACTGCGAGCGGCGGAGTCGTTCCTTGGACGGAGGCCGATCGTGGTGTTCACGATAGGCCCGATGTCGCCAAGGAGAAGATTCCGGACAGGTGCAGGCTCGCCATGCACACACCTGACAACGCCTCGCCTTTCATACAGGGACATCTCCCCGCTGATGAGACTTGGAGGGGCCGTTCCAGCACCTCCCGTGCATTCCGGCCACTCAGCAGTGAGCAAACAGTGCAAGGTCGTGCAACCAGAACATACGACTCAGCTTTGGCGGAAGTTCTCGAGTTTCTGTGGTCCTGGCACGAGGCCAAGACTCATTCCTCGGCGGATTTGGCCGCTTCTAGTACTGCGGTTGATCATCCAAAGGGCGACGGGGTCCCGGATCCCTCTCCCGCTTCCGAAGCGCCTCGCAAGAAACGCAAGGTTTCATAGTTCTGGAAATGAAACATAAGCAATGAGTTCTGCCTAGGCTTAGCGAACAACGAATGGGGTATCTTCTTGCTTTCTGGGGCCGTTCCCCACTCAGCATGAGCAAAGCTCGTCGAGCTGAGTGGTCTTTGGGCAAAGTTCCGGTGCTGTGACACCACGACACCAACCTGGGGCTGGGGTAAAGATTTCGCTGCGAAATGGGTCCGGGGTCCAAGTTGGGTTCCTGTCCTGAGCATCGACTTGCTGCTAACTAGTGGATTGGGAGGACTGGCCGACTAGTGACCAGCCCATTGCTCAGTGCTGAAGCATTTGTCTCAGTATGTTCATGAGCGGTGATTCACATCTCCGTTTTGAACGCAGAGGTTTTCATCACGTGCCATAGAACATTGCTGCTTAGCACTGCCTAACCTGCCTCAGAGCTCGGCTGGGCTGGGGATTGCATCTTCCGGCGACGTCTGCTACGAGCTTAAGCCTAGGTTCCTGGAGTTGGAGAGGAATCATCCAGACATGCATGGTCGAGGGTCCGTGGAGTTAAGAGTTACATGGCTCTCAGTTAAATTCAGGTCTCAAGTATAACATCGCATCATACGCCGAAGAACCTGCCCTCCCGATTTAGGGTTTAGGGTTTACTGTAGGGCATAGGGTTTAGGGTTGATGGTTTAAAGAAGACCAAAGCGCAATCTTCTGAGCCATATATAGAAGTACAGTTGACGCCCGGTGTGTTTTTCTATGCTACGATTCCCCGCAGCATTACCCCAATCTAAAGTCTAAACCCTAAACCCTCAAGCCTTAACACTAAATGAATGCAGGCATCTCGGAATCTTCTGATGACTGCTGCTGTGCCACTTTGCCGAAACAAGGACCTGCAGTGACTCTGTTCGATGTTCGAGGTTTCTTGTGTTAGAGTGAACATGGACAGTACGACTCCTTGTGCACTAGTGTTGTTGCAACTTCCGTTTTCGTTTCGCTTGCTTGCTTTCTTGGTTGCTTGATCGCTTGGTCGCTTGGTTGCTTGGTTGCTCGCTTGCTCGGTTGCATGACTGCTTGGTTGCTTGCTTGGTTGCTTGCTTGGTTGCTTGGTTGCTTGGTCGGTCATTCCGTCGTTCGGTCGGTGAGTGGATCAGTCGGTCGTTCGGTCGGTGAATCGGCCGGTTGGTTGCTTGGTCGCTTGGTTTCGTTTCTTTCTTCGATCGTTGGCTGATTGGGCATTGGTCTTTGACTTTCTGGGTTGGCTCTTGAACTTGTGGCTGGAGGTCTATGTTGCGAGGAGTGTGACTGATGTGATGTTCTGCACACGCCCTACCGATGGGGAGCCAAGCCGCACGAAAGAGAGCTCCTCACACACCGCTGGCCGGGTGTGGGGCGACGGCAGCGACGGCCGGATGATCCGGCCCCTTGAGGCCAACGTGCTGTGCCGGAGCACATGACAGCAGGACGATGGGCTAAAGTGCCTGCTGGGGGACCGGATCACGCATCGCTTCGGCGGGAATCTGCCGAAAAGTTCAGTCCGTCAAGAACGGGAGGCCTCAGCTTTCGCATTTGTTTCGTTGCTTCCTGGCTTCCTTGCTTGCTTCGTGTCTTCTTCGTGAGTTGGTTCTTCGAGTGATTGTTTCGCTCTTGGCTTGCCACGTGTGTTGCTTTCTTGGAAAGTCGCGGGGTTGCTTGATAGCTTGATTGCAGGGTTCGTTGCTCGATTGCTTGGTTGCTTGGTTGCTTGCTTGGTTGGTGAGGTGGCTCGTGACTTGGTCGCTTCGTCGCTTGGTTGCTTGGTCGCTTCGTGGCTTGGTTGCTTGGTTGGTGGATGCTCGATTGCAAGACTGCTTGGTTGCTTGCTTGGTTGTTTGGTTGCTTGGTCGGTCATTCCGTCGTTCGGTCGGTGAGTGGATCAGTCGGTCGTGCGGTCGGTCCATCGGTCGGTTGGTTGCTTGGTCGCTCGATTTCCTTTCTGATTGTGTTGAAGGTATCTAGAACATATGATACGCAGGACAAATGCTGAAACGATTCAAAATTTGCAACGATTCGCTGCAGAACGAGGCCTGCGAATGTCGGCTGGGGCTGGTTGCATGTATGCGGTGTCTGGTATTTGTTTGTTGGCAATCTCTTTTCGGACGTGCTAAACATAGCGAGGTAGCTGTGTTCTTTCCTGCACGTAGACACGGTGGAGTTTCGGTCGGTGCTTCCTTAGCCAGTGACGAGAAGTGTTCGATGTAATATCTTGCCGCTTTGGACTTCTGTAACTGAATCATAATGCCATAAAGTAGTGACATTCTGTGCCTGACTCCTTGAAGGCCTGTGCTTTCGTGCTGCTGACAGAAATCCTGACTTTCCAATTCCCAGGTTCAAGCCCTTAAAAACCTCGGTATCACCCCCATGCCCTGCGGCAAGCACATGACAGATTCGATGAAACAGTGGCAGAGCCATCCTGGTGGCCGTAATGTTGAGTATGTATCGGGGCCGTGAGTTTCTCCTCGTAATAAGTACGCACATGGCAATGGAGGATCAGAATCATTTCCGAAAAAATATGCATCCCGAGCAGATTGCTGCTTTCTTTGACTAGACATGAGGAACCTGTGGCTCTATATTCAAATTCCTTCGAAGCAGCATCATAGCCATAGTGTATGCTTTGGTTTGGGACACAGGAAGTGCTGATGCTGCTCAGCAAGACACGCCGCGATCTGAGCGAACTTGATCCTGTAAAGCACATGTGCCCATGCTTGATGCTTCAGTTTCGGAAGCTTCCGTGACATGCGATGCGACTTCTGTCCGTGTCAGCTCCATCGTTTCATCATCAGTCTAGGGCGATCCTTGAACCGTTGAGCGAAAAGGCTTTGAAGGGTTCAGACAGATGTCCATTCTGAAGCAATATCCTGAGCTGTGAAAACAGTTTAACATTCCTAGCTGCAGGGTTTGCCTCGGGCTTGGTCATTGCTCTGCCGTGCTCAGGTCGCTTCGCTGCTGGCTAGTTGTATCTGTCGAAGACGAGAAAAAGGGCCTCTACAGATGGGGGCATGTGGGTTTCAGCCGCTCAGTGCTTACAAACTGGGTGGCCATGTTCAGTTTTGAGATGCTGAGCCAAAGCTCTTAAACAATGCCTCAGTCCCATGGCCGGTCCAGTGCATGTTTTCGTAGCAAGCGGACAACCAAGCCAGAGACATCGAAGCCCCAAACGGGAACCAAGGCCTCAAGCCAAGAGAAGCTACGCAGCTACAAGGAAAAGCTACACAGAAGCTCCCGTCAAGCCAGTAAGCCACCTGCGATAGCTGGACAACTACACCGTAAAAGCACGAGGCGAGCTTCAAGCCAGAACCAAACAGAACAAGAGCCGAGACATCAGGCAACCACCGAGCCAAGCACCCAAGCCACAGCCCCTACACAAATCCAAATTGCCTAGAACCACAGCACCCGGAGCCACGAAGCCACACCCGGCAAGCGGAAGAAGGAACAGACTAGCCAACAGCCGCTTCTGGACATGAGCTAACATGAGAATGGCAACAGCCCTCGATTCCCTAATACAAATCCACGAAGCCACCGAGCCACCAAGCCACCGAGCCACCCAGCCACCAAACCACCAAGCCACCGACAAGCCACCAAGCTCCCAAGTCCCCAACCCCCAAGCTCCAACCCCCAAGCCCAAAGCCCAACCCCAACCCCCACCACCAAGCCACAAGCCACCAAGCCACCGAGCCACCAAGCCACCAAGCCACCGAGCCACCAAGCCACCAAGCCACCAACCCCCCAACCCCCAAGCCCAACCCCAACACCCAGCACCAAGCCACAAGCCCACAAGCCACCGAGCCAAGCCACCGAGCCACCGAGCCACCGAGCCACCCCACCCCACCAACCCCAACAACCCCCAAGCCCAACCCCAACACCAAGCACCAAGCCACAAGCCACCAAGCCACCAAGCCACCAAGCCACCAAGCTCCCAAGTCCCCAACCCCCAACCCTCAAGCCCCAACCCCCAAGCCCAACCCAACAACCCCCAACACCAACCACCAACCCAAGCCACCAAGCCACCAAGCCACCAAGCCACCAAGCCACCAAGCCACCAAGCCACCAAGCCACCAAGCCACCAAGCCACCAAGCCACCATGCCACCATGCCACCATGCCACCAAGGCACCAAGCCACCAAGCCACCAAGCCACTAAGCCACCAACCCCAAACCCCCAACCCCGAAGCCCAACCCCAACACCCAGCACCAAGCCACCAAGCCACCAAGCCACCAAGCCACCAACCCCAAACCCCCAACCTCCAAGCCCAACCCCAACACCCAGCACCAAGCCACAAGCCATCAAGCCACCAAGCCACCAACCCAAACCCAAGCCACCCAGCCACCGAGCCACGCAGCCACCCAGCCACCAAGCCACCAAGCCACCAAGCCACCAAGCCACCAAGCCACCTAGCCACCTAGCCACCTAGCCACCTAGCCACCAAGCAACCAAGCAACCAAGCCATCAACCCCAAACCCCCAAGCCCCAAGCCCAACCCCAACACCGAGCACCAAGCCACCAAGCCACCGAGCCACCGAGCCACCCAGCCACCAAGAAACCAAGCCACCAAGCCACCAACCCCAAACCCCCAACCCCCAAGCCCAACCCCAACACCGAGCACCAAGCCACAAGCCACCAAGCCACCAAGCCACAAACCTACAAGCCCTCAACCCAAGCCCAACCCCAACATCAACCACCAACCCAAGCACCAAGCCACCAAGCCACCAAGCCACCAACCCAAACCCAAGCCCAACATCAAGCAACAACCCAAGCACCAAGCCACCAAGCCACCGAGCCACCGAGCCACCAAGCCACCAAGCCACAAGCCACCAAGCCACCAAGCCAGCAAAAGAGATTTCAGCTACAGCGAAAAGCGCCACACAAGCCACAAGACAAGCCAGCGAAGCCAGCACGCCACCAAGTACAGCTTGACAGCTACAAGGTAAACGTAGAAAGCAAAGATGGATTTTACTAAAATTACGACCCAACTTGAACAACCACGGCAGCCCAAGC